CACATTGGATAGAAATACAAGAAAATTTATTACCTTATCAATCTGCTTCTGATAGGCCTTATATAATAGCAAGAGTTTTTGCTTTGAAAGTTAAGCATTTTTTGAAAATTATTGTTGCAAATACTAATGGGCGGTCTGGAGAATTTTAAGTAAACCTTTAGGAAAAAACAGTCATAGTATTAATAGTTTACCTATACATTTACCGAAGAAAAAAGATGTTCTTATTCGCGAAGAGAAAGATTGTTGCTTACATTGAAAGGAGCAACTTCATTGGAAAGTTAAAAAACAGTGAATGGTGCAAATCATAAATCTTTTACATCTGCTTGCTTGGCATTGGAACTTATAGAAGATGATAGTGAGTGGATTAGGACAATGGAAGAAGCTGTTGTATGGATGATACCCTATTTACTTCGTTAATTGTTGATAAGAATTTTAATTGATTGTCGTCCTGTACAGCCAGATAAAATGTGGGATCATTTTAACCGACAAATGTCAGAAGATTATAGGTAAATGGGAATTACTGAATATAATGTAAGAATAATATCCCACTCGTGAGAGGACAATTGTGACGGAAGCAATTATCGTATGAGCAAAAATGCAAGTGCGGCGCCTGACATGAGGATCTGACGATTGACCCTTCGGTAAAATTGTAATTCTAGGAGATGATTTCAGACAAACTTTGATAATTCAAGAGAGAAGCACTAGATCTGAAATAATTAATTTATCAATAAAAAATAGTAAACTATGGAAGTCTTTCGAAAAATTTACACTACGCGAGCTTTGCCTTAAGAAACAGAATTTATTTAACTTTATATAAAGTTGGCAATGGTCAATTAAATGATGTAAATAATACTTTTGAATTACCAGACAAAATAATAATTCGATTAGGTTGTACAGATATTGCTGAAGAAATGATAAAAAATTTCAGAACATGTAAACGTGTTCAATTTTAGCACCTAGAAATGTTGCCATTGATGAACTGAATAAGAGAACATTAAATCTCTTAGACAATAATAAGGAAAAATGTATAAAAGCATTGATTGTACTGAAAATTGTGATAATGAAAATTTTTCTTAAATATTATTACCAGAATATTTAAAGACTTTCACCATCTGCTTTACCATACCATGAATTACATTTAAGAATATATTGTGTTGTAATGCTTATTAGAAATCTTAGTATTAATGAAGATTTATGTAACGGAACAAGATTACTCATTTTAGTTTTATTTCACAATATTATTAAATGTCGGGTATTAACGGGAAAAAACTGTGGAAATTTTAAATTTTTAAAAAAAATTTTTTTGTATTTCTTTATCGCATAAATTTACATTGAGAAAAACTGTATATCTCTTTTCATTCAAAAGAAGAAAATTCCCCAAAAAATTATCGTTTATAATGACTATAAATAAATCTTAAGGAAAAAACGTTTAATAGAATATCAATTGACTTAAGACGAGATGTTTTAAATGGTATGGTCAGATGTATGTTAAATATTCTACTTTCTGCTAATGTATGAAAACCAATAAGTAAACATAGTTCATTGTAATCTTGACCACGAGAAAGATATTTTTTATCGACATTAAAAACCAGATATTTAAAGAATCTCTTTTGGATCTCATCTAAGTAATTATGTGTATAAAAGTTGTAAGTAGGGTTACATGTCAAGGTTGTTGTAAGATTACATGCAAAAGTTAATATTGTAAGCTTACTATTAGGTTATTCTTAGCTTAATGTAATGTTACTTTAAGGTCATTGTATGGTTTCTGTTATAACAAATTAAATTAAATTTTTGTAACAAAGAAACTTAGCAAAAGTTCAGGGCGCGCGTAGCACGCAAAGATTAGTTCTAGTAATTAATTAATATCTTGAAAACAAAAAAAATATTTTATTTAAATTATGAATTAAAAGCATACATTTTAAACTTTATTTTAAGTGGTCAAATGAGAAATGAAAATATTTCTTTATTAAAAAAAGTCAAAAATATTTTTGATTTTCAAGAAAAAGAGATAAATTTTGAATTTAAAACAAAATTTTTGCACCATTTAAAAGAGCAGGTAATAACTTTTCAAAATCATACAGGTCAAAATTTTGTTTCCCCCTTTTATGCAATAGTTATAATTTTTCAAAAAATCCAATGCTTACATTTTGGCTATTGTTACACTTAGAAATTTTGCCTCATATGCATATATGAGAGATTCTTTTTCAATCGCCCCAGCCCAAAAAGTCAATGTTCTGGGATTGGCTTCATACTTTGGCAAATTGTTGTCTTATATTATACTAATAAATCCTTAAAATATAAACTCATTAAAAAAATATTTGTAGAAAGTAAAGGGGGTTGAAGTTTTGACGTTAAGGGTAACATTGTCATTTTCAAATCCGTATAACTATGACAAAAGTTAATGGATTTTAATTTATCTATAATGAATTTTAATGCATTTTTCACGTACTTTTCAAAAATGTATACGAAATTAAAAAAAAAAAATTGACCCCTTTTTTTTCAAAATCAACCCTTATTTTTCGATTTTCACCCCTTCTGGTTTTTTTGTTTTATTTTCATTGGAAAGCTATTATATGTAGACTTGGATGAGAAGTGGATACAAGACTAAGATTACAAATTACAGATACAAAATGGTCTTATTGATAACACAATGCTGTTTGTAACGCCACACATCTGTATTCCACGACTAACCTATATTAATATGTACACAGTTTTGTTATTGTTTAATTTATTACTTAATTACACAGTTTGTGAATTTTTATTTGTTTTAATTAATTTGTTCATTTTGATTTCCTTGAGCTTGGCTTTAATCCTTGCTAAAAACAAGACAATTAGTAACTTTAGAAAGTTTAATAGAACCATGAATTCTTAACTTTTGTAACCATATTCTTATACTTGTGTATTGCTTTTGTTAGAAAAGACGGTTGTCATAAATATATGACTTAACCGACACATATAGAACTGTCAAGGTAAGGTTTTTCTTTTTTTTCAAATTGTAGCTGCCTATTGTCTTATGAAATTTCAATGAGAATAGAGCGAGGATAGTTTTCTACTTTCCATTTAATTACTTTACCAAATTTTCAATGGACACAGGAGAAGGGGGAAACGAAGATTGTTGTATTTAGATATTTTCTATAAAAGTAGTACCGAAATGTCATTGAAACATTAAAGTGTAACAAAAATAAAGATATAATTAACTGTTTAATGTTGTAACATTCTTTATAAAATATTTGAACAGTTATTGTTCACCTATTCTTTTCCTTTCCTTCCATTTTGATAAAGTTAGAAAAAAGGACATTAAATGTTTTCAATTGTTCTTACGTGTAGTAAAGAAATGCATTATAAACTAAATATTAGAGACACAAAAGATCAATGTCATTCACAGACAGCATTGTATAACGATTAAAAATTTTGGAACTTAAAGAAATATGGCATATAAATAAAATATTTGTAAAACCACAATATCATACGATGAGTAAACGTGTCTAGAATATAATTTACACGCTCACTCAATTTTGAAAAAATTGTCTTTTAACGCTCTGCCATAGCGCACTATTCATTTCTTCGGGGAAAGGGGGGCAAGATGCCATAGTAAGCAAGACGGGATATCTGTCTTTATTTACAAACTGATAGGCCAGTTATGGTCATATTGCGCATAATGTAATACCAATATGATAGTTTTAAACTGGTGAAAACCTTGAACGATTATACCACGTTTTTTCTTTTGGTAATTTTGCGATCTTTGTGTCATAAAAAAAACTTTTTTTGAAATTTTCTTCTAATTTTTTTATTTTGTTCAGAACGTGTTTTTTTTGTAAATAATAGCATTTTATGTATCTCATTTTTTGTTTTTCATAAATGTCATTGACTACCCTAGCAGGTAAATATTTGTTTAACTGTTTGTTGAATCATACTTTTCAATTGTTACTTTTTTAGTGTAATTTTGCATAGGAGGGATATGGATATGGAGTTTATTTTATCATATAATTAAAAGTATATTATTGTAAGTACAATAGCATTGAATAGTTTTGAATAAATGTTTCATTTTTCTAGCAGAAGGATAAAAAATTATAAATGAAAGACAAGTAGAGAATATTGGTGAGTAGAGAGTATGAAAAATGCGGTGGACGAAAAATTAATTTCCACCTATCAACAAAAATATTTTCTGTACCACAATGAAAACGTCACTTTTACCATCGATCAAAATTTTATTTTAGGTTATATAATTTTCCAGACGGGATGAAAATTTGCGACAAATGGTAAATTAAATTACAGGTTATGGTTATATCGCAGAATAAAGTAACTATGAAGACAGTAGTGATTTTACTGACAGAATGAAAAATGCTTTTAAAAATAGTAATATTCCAAAATTTTGTAAAATTCGATAAAAAATTTTAAATAAAAAATAGTGGAGGATAGAGCTAAATGATACACTGCGTAAATCTTTTTTCTACAATTTCATTTGACGACTAATAGTTACAACTATATAAGCTTTTTATCATAGGTAACTCAGGGGTACAACATAATAAACTAAGGTTATATTACATATGCTTTAAAACATTGACTTTAATTGTACTAAGTATTTTTTGAGTTCTGTCTTGAAGACCGAGTGTGACAGAAAGTTCGTTTCCCTTGGATGCGAATATATCGACCAATTAAAAATGATATTCTAGGGATATACTAATTTTAAATACTTCTGGTAAGTCTGTAGGATATTTTGAAATATCCATTGTTTTAAAGGAAGGGATTTTATGCATAAAAATAAGTTAAAGTGGTTTGTTTCTCTAAAATCAAAATTTGGGGGTGATAGGGAAATATTAAAAATGACATTATTTTTAGTTTTTGTGGCTTAATACCTTTATAATAAGTGTCACGAATATGTTTCAAATAATACTGGATGAATACAAAAATTTTAATTTTTTTCTTCGCTTATTAAAAGATTGTAAAACGCTCCATTTTTCAAAAAAATGTATTCTTAAAACCAACTATCAAAAACTTACTTCTTTGAAAAGATATTTAATGTCATTTTCCTGACGACATCTCATGTCTACGAATCCACCTAGCTTCCAGTGCAAATTATTAAAAAGTTTAGACACACTTATACTTGCATTCCAGTTTATAACCATAGCTGTTATTCCATAAGTATTGAATAATTTTATAAGTTGGACAGCATCTTAAACCAAATCATAATTTTGACAAATGAAAAGAACTTAATTTTAGTGGTAATGTTTTCATATTCCAAAACATCTGTTGCAGTAAGAAAAAATATTATTAACTAAAGTATCTTAAATTTTTACTTTGAATTAATAATTATTAACAATTTCACATCCCGTGCAGAAATTGAAAGTAGGGTTTAGTATTGCTCTTGTTAAATTGCCTTGTGCATTGTGAGGCGCTAAACGGGCAAAATAGCGGGAACCTCTCTATCATCGTCACGCTTGGATACATTGTACAATACTTTTTATATACCTTTATGCCGTGAGCGAATTTACACTACAAAATGGGGTTATGTCACTCAACTTTGATTAAATTAAAAATATATTAATTCACGAAAGTAATCATTTCAAAGAATCATTGGGAAGAAAATATGAAATAAATAACGTATAAAATTAATCAAATAAATGTTTATTAACATTTTTTGCCTTAAAATTTGAAAACTTATTAGAATGAAAACAACAACACCGATTAACAAATCGGTTTACAAGTTAGAAAAATAATATCTATCTCTGACCTTACTTTTTAATTCTGGTTTAGAAACAATTTCTTTTCGTTTTATATTTTGTACATTAGGCACAAGTGGGAAAACAAAATGAATATACTATTTTTCTTTTTTTTCAAGAAATTCGATCTCGAAAACATTTCTGTTAATGTCGGTGACTATTTGTCCAACTCGTAATTTTTCCTTAACGGATTCTACAGATGTTGCCTTTTTGAGACACAATCTTTGTCCTTCAAAATCAATCCATTTTTTGATGCATTCTTACTGTCATCAACTTGAAAGTTCTCTTCATTGATAGAAAAAGGAAGATCTTCAGCACTGACATCAGATTCAACGATTTTACTCAATTTTCTTGGCCTACCAGGTCGCCTTTTTTCTTTCACTTCAGTCAAAGATTCCTCATTTTCGACAAGTGCCTTTTTTGGCCTTCCACGTTTTTTCTTTTCTTTTTCCTTTTCCTGATCATCTTTTTGTAAAGATTCCATATCCTCGATACACCATCATTTTTTCGCCAACTTGTTTAACTGCAGATTTGAGAAGTCTTGGAAAAAGTGCTTTGGGTATTACTCCACGGTTTTTAATTTTATACGTATTTAACAGTTCTTTCCAACTTTTCTTCAGTGATCGAAACATAGCAACGTCCAATGGTTGTGTAAGATGGGTTGAATTAGGTGGCAATAAGATGAAAATAATATCATTTTCCTGACACAGAGAAATTACTTTCAAAGAAATGTGACTCCCTAAATTATCACCGATCATGACTTTTTTGCCTGGAAGCTTTTTCAAAAAAGGTAAACATATTGTTAAAAACCAATCTTCAAAACTGTTCATGTCAAACCATCTGGATTCACTTCGGTTGTACCGTGCACCTATAATTCCTCCTTCAATCCATGTTGAATAAAGATTTTTTGCTTTGTAGACAGTATAAGGAGGAAGCAATGTACCATCTCCAGTTGCAGCAAACATGACGCTTGTGGAGGTTTTAGAAGAATCAATAATACCAATCAATAATATCTCGACCTGGTCTATTATCCTTGAAGCGATTTTCACGTTTTGTTTTAATTAGGTACATTTGTACAACGTTGCAGAGGTCATTAGCTCTTAAAGAAAATCCCCAAGATCCAGCAGTTTTCAAAGCTTCAACAATTGTCGTTTCTTCGATCGTCGATAATTCACAAGGACGGACATGTTTATCAGGATGTTTATTTTTAAATTTGTCTTTCAAAGTCGAAAATGGAACTTGATATTCTCTTGCAACCTCTCTCATTGATTTTCCACCTTTTCTCAATTTTGCGAGTGCATATTCTAATTCTAATTTTCCCATGAGCGAAATTATCCTACAAATTTGAAAATTTTTGAAAAATTAATTTTTTCAAAGCCTAATAAATTTTTTAAGGTTATTTTTTTTTAAATCATGTTAGAGATACAAGAAATGATATTTATAGGTGAATTTAACATTAAATTGTTTAAATAAAGTTTTACATGCAACTTTTACACACTACCTGTTCGAAGTGCAAAATAACCTTTTGTAAATAAATATTATTTTTATAGATGATATTTTTTTTGGATTTACATAATTTAGTCAAGATGTTATTTGTTTTTGGTAAAAATCAACATTTTATTTTTAAAATTCTTATTAAATGAGCTTTCGCCTGTCAACGTCGGCCATACATAAAGAGGGTCAACTCTTTATACAAACCATTGATTTTTAAGTTTTCATTACATCTAAAATATTAAAAAAAAACTAAATGTGATTTTATATAATTAAAAGTAACTTAAAATCAAAGTAAAATTGTGGGAAACATAAACTTAAAGTAATTTGCTCCTAGGGTATTTTTCCTTAAAGCGCGTCACATATTTATAGGTAAAAACTTCTGAAGTTGGCCACCTATAACTGACTTTTCAAATTTAAAATATTTTTTTTCATGATCTATTGTAGGAAGCCGTATTAAAAACGTATGCGTGTTCAAAAAAAATTAATTTTTTAATTATTTATTAACCATTGAATATTTTGTTACCTTTCCACTTTTTCAATTATTCTGTTGCTTGTTAATGAAATTTAATAAAATTTGGTGAGTATATAGAAAAATTATGTCTCTTTGAAATGCAATAGAAATTTCAATTAACCTTTATTGTTTATGCAAAAAAATGTTTATTTAATAAACAAATGAATATTTAAACTATTTCCCATATGTTTAGGAAAAAATTTCAAAAACGACATAAATCTACACTTTCTAAACTTTAACTAAAAAAAAATATTAGAACCTTTAAAAATTATTATTTAACAATCATTGAACTTTTCATTACAACTGGTTTCTGAGAATTTTTTCAAGAAACGAATATTCATTGAATTATTTTGCAAGCAACAGAATTAGTATCACTAAAGATAATTTTACATTCCAATGTAAAATTTTCTCTAGTGATACTATTTTATACTAATACTAATTTGGCTAAATAAAAATTTGGTTTAGCGAAAATATAATTAAATAAGAATTTGGTTAAATAAAAATTAGGCTTTAATAAAAATGCTATTAAAAAAATTCGGTTAAATAAAATTTTTTTAAAATAAAAATTCTGCTATTGAAAAATTTGGTTCTACGTTAAATTAATTTTTTAAAATTTAAACATAGTACACATTGAGCGTCTCAATTGAAATCTTTTTTTAATTAAAGTTAAGAAAGTGTAGATTTATGTCGTTTTTGACATTTTTTCCTAAACATATGAGAAATAATTTAAATACTCATTTGTTTATTAAATAAACATTTTTTTTGCATAAACAATAAAGGTTAATTAAAATTTCTATTGCATTTCAAAGAGACATAATTTTTCTATATACTCACCAAATTTTATTAAATTTCATTAACAAGCAACAGAATAATTACAAAAGTGGAAAGGTAACAAAATATTCATTTGTTAATAAATAATTAAAAAATTAATTTTTTTGAAGACGCATTTCAGGAATGTTTTTAATACGGCTTCCTGCAATAGATTATGAAAACAAATATTTTAAATTTGAATAGTCAGTTTTAAGTGGCCCAGTTGAGAAATTTTCACCTTTATAAACTTTTAAAGATACATACAAAATTATCTCAAAAATCTGCTTCAGTCTTTAATCTTAAATCAAATTGTTCAGTCTTCATAATTATTAAATGGAACTTGCAATTTATAATGATTAATGAAATCAGGACGTAGTATGTAAGCATTGAAACTTGCTCCTTCTAGCGCACGGGCCATAATAACTCATTGATTTTCCAAAATTTCTATGGCAGTAATACAAGTAAATCTGGTGTTGTTACGGCAAACTTTTTTAAATCATTTTTTAGCTCTGTTTACACTTCTCCTTCTTTAAATGTTTCAGCAACCGACTTTAAACAATACGATAACATTATTAATGTATTTTCTATTTCTAAAGACTATGTTTTGGAAAAATTGAAATCATTCGACGTGAAAAAAGGACCTGGTCCAAATGCAATTCCGCCATCATTTTTGAGGTCGTGCTGTTCTTCATTTGTTGAGCCCCTTTAAATTTTGTTTAACATATCACTTACAAACGGTATATTTCCGACGATATGGAAGAGAGGATTTGTTGTTCCAGTTTATAAGGACGGTGACAAAAACAGTGTTACTATCGTCCAATAATTATCTTGAGTGCAATATCAACAATTTTTTGAAAGTATCATTCATGATGACTTATACAGGCATTTAAAATCCTGCTTAATTAAGGAGCAGCACGGTTTCAGGAGGGGAAGATCGGTCTTCACCAACCTGAGTATTTTTTCCAACTTAGTACTAGAAAACTTGAAACATAAACAAATTGACACTATATATACAGACTTTAGTAAAGCTTTTGACAATGTAGACCATGGCATCCTTTTGGCGAAGCTTGAGGCTCTGGGATTTTCTAATATTTTGTTAAAATGGGTTAAAAGTTAGTTGGCAGAGAGAACCATATCAGTACGTGTTGGAAACGATTACTCTGATATTTTTGGCGCATCTTCTGGAGTTCCTCAGGGTTCAAACCTGGGACCACTCCTCTTTATATTATTTATAAACGATATTTATTTGGTCATAAAATTTTCTAAATTTCTTTTATTTGCGGATGATTTAAAAATATTTAAAGTAATATCTTGCAATCAGGACCACGAGGATCTGCAGTCGGATTTTGAGCGGCTCTGTCTATAAGAAACAATCTGCTTTTTAATTTAAAAAAATGTAATGTTATATCATTTCGCAGACCGGTCCAATTTTCTGACTGTGGGTACTCCATTGGCAATGAGATTCTAGCCAGAGTAACTTCCACACGTGATCTCGGTGTGCTGATTGATTATAAATTTTCCTTTACTAATCACATCATATATACTGTTAATAATGCCACCAGAGTCTTGGGCTTCATCACCAGAAATTCAAGGCGCTTCAAAAACATTGATGCTTTGAAATGCTTGTACTTCTCGTTG